GAGCAAACTTGGCGTTTGTATTTCAGAAGACTTATAGCAGTTAACTTGGGTTGGGAATGCTCCAATTGAATATATATGTGTTCTCAACAAATAAAGAGAGGATGTCAATGTCTTCTCAGACTTTGCATAATAAAGAGTGTGCTGATGATGGTAAACTTTCTTCATAAGAGGGTGAAGAAGACTTTGAGTCAGATGGTTTAGAGGAAGCAGATGCTGAGAATAATTTCCATAAGTGCTGCTTGGCACTACCTGTGCTATTCTTTAATCTTGTTAACTTGTTTGTTTGGTTTCTTAGTTAGTATACTACCTTTGTCATATTATGGCTAAAAAGGGGGAGTAGTACTAACTTACTAACCATTGCTAGCTGTTGTTGAGGAGGAGAGATCCATGAGATCCCTTGCTACAGCATAAAAGTTCTAAGTGGAGGAGGAGGCCGCTAGCTATTTATTTTTCCGCTGCTAAGTGATATTTTTCTGCCTCTAACTTTTTATGTGTTTTCATGCAAAGGTTATGTTATTTGTTTTAGCCAAAATTTGCCAAAGGGGAAGATTAAAGGCTCCTTAGTTTTGATTGGCATTAATTTTGGTAAAACAAACTTAACTAAACATGTTGGACAGGATGTCCTAACAATCCTGAAGAGCTTGATGAATGAGATGTCAGACAAGATATCTTATCTGTGTGGTTTGACATCTGTTTCTGTTACAGGGGTTATTTCTATTTTGAATCTAGTGATTTAATTTAGATTACAGTTGATTCATTTTGTATCCTAGGTGGCGCTCAAATTAAGGAATCAGAGTTTCTAGTGGAATTTGGAGTTGTGCCATTTTCTATAGTATGGAGATTTTTTAGGAAACTTGGGAATGAAGAATATATACTTGAGGAGAATATTTTGCAAATTATATGGTGAATAATTGTTGATGTGTTGAAGTCCATATCCAATCTTATTTAGGGTTATAAATAGGATGGATTTAACCTAGTTTTGGTATTGAAAACCATATTGAGTTTTATGAGTTTTTAAGGTTTGTGCTTTGTGAGCCTCTCTTGTATTGTGTTGATACCAGAGCTGGACAATTTTTGTTGAGTTGTAATTTCAGTCACTGTTGTGATTGAAAGGAAATTGAGAAGGGTCTTATACCTAGGAAGAGTCTTAGGTAGAAATTAAGCACAGGTAGTGATTAAGTGATGAGTTGTAAACGGTGGAGTTTATCTTAGAATTAATAATATCTAGTGGATTTTATTCTTGGCTTGGTAGCCCTTAGACGTAGGTGTTGTTCACCGAACTGGGTTGACAATTATGTGTGTTGTTTACTTTCTGCAACACACATAATTGGTAGTCGAGCATGGCTTCGATGTCCTCCAGATGGTCGTCTGGGTCCATCATGCCATCATAGGTGGAGAGGGCGGGCGACTTCTCCATCCCGTGAGGGATGGGAGTCTCCATGATGTCTCGTGACAAGGGAGTTTGGTGACTGTCCTCGTCACTTCGGATAGGGGAGCGCGAGGGGGAAGGACTGCATCGAGTAGACTGACTGCGACCCTTCGTCCTCTTGCTTGGATCGTCAGGCCTACTCTTTCTCGGGGCCTGGGAGTGCCTCTCCTTCCGGGGAGGTGACCTCTCGCGCTTCTTGGAGGAAACAGTTTGGAGCATCTCCAATTGTGGTTGGCGCCCTTGTTGACGGGGATAGGGCTCTGGGAATCCTCGCGTTGGGATCTTCGCGGGCGAGATGTTAGTCGTTCTTGCATAGTACTAGAGAAAGGCTCCGGGCAGGACGACGATGTCTCTGCGGAGGAGAGCGAGATGGACGATCCTGTTCTAGCATCCCGATACGCTCGTTCTGCTGGAACAACATCAAGTTGGTCTGGCTGATGGCTGCGAAGAGGGTCGTCATCGTCGGATCCGCACCTGCTGGTGTGTGGATGGGCTGGAAGGCAGCTGGGTTCCTTGCTCGTGGAGCGACATTGAAGGTCGCATCGTCAGATGAAGGATAAGTTGTCTGCCCATCTCTAATATCGTCGTCATGGTCGTTGACGGGCACACCATGATCATCACCGTTGATGAGTGGGTCAAAGGCCAAGTCGTGGACAACATTGTCGTGGTGTGGGCTGACCATGATCACAGAAATTGATGAATGATTTGGTTATATTGCTCGAAAGAACGGAGAAGCTTTAGTTTCTCATAGACGATGACACTGATCTCGCCTGATTAAAAGGAGTCACTGGCCGGCCACGCGTTTGAGTTGTCTGACTGCTGGGGAGAATGGAGGGGGTGTACCTGAAACATACTCTGATGCCAAAGCAAGAGTTGGGTATAGTGATAACAAGTACAGAAACAGAAGTAAGAAATGGGATTACCTGACCTTCTAGTTAAAGTGGGTATTTATAGTGTTCCCCCAGCGTAAGGTCAACAGTTACTTTGCGTTGGGATGGGTTGTCAGGCCCAATGCTGATAACTGCTATGGCTGACGTGGCATCAGGAAGACCAGCATGTGGTATTCGCCCTAGTGTAACTGCTCCGTGCTATCCGGGAGGTGGATGACCGAATAATCAGGGCACGGGTAGTTACCTGATGATGTATCTCCGCGTAGGGGACACGTTGAGAATGTGGGGGAGGTCAGAGAAGTCCTATGAGCTGGATAGGGTATGGTCGACGGTTGGATAGAAGGGAGAGCGTGCCTGACAGATGTGAGGTGCCTGCTCGACTGCCAAAAGGTTCGTGCCCGACGGGAGAAAGGATTCTGTCCGAAGGGAGAAAGGGCTCTGTTCGACGGGGAGGAGATTTAAGTCTTATTGGGTCTTCCAACCGATGTGGGGTTGGGTCTGCTCGAGTGTGTGTGTGTGTGTGTGTATACACACACGCACACACCGATGTATGCGGCTTTTTAAATAGTATGGATTAATTGAAAACTTTAATAAGAAACAGGCTTTTAAATAGGTTTACAGGTCAGGTCAGACTTTTAAAAAGTATAGTAGGCTATAGACCATGCTCAGGCCTTGTAAATTTATTATAGGTCAGTCTCAAGCCTTCTAAAATCTAAACTAACCTAATTTATTTCCATTCCTATTCATCACCATTGGATCAGTACAATTTTTTTTTATAAGTAAATAATTTGCACATAATAGAATTCAGACTTAAACTTAAAAAAAACACTATTAAAACTTAAGTCTTCACTATTTGACCATATAACTATTAAGTATTTTTAATATAATTGTTAGTTTACTTTATAATCGGACAATACAATTTTTGAAAACTTATTTAATGTTGTTTAAAATATAAAATTTTACATATTATATAATTGATTATTTTATTTTTTATTAGAGATGCAGATAATGCGTTCAGGTACAAATAGTTTCATACCTATACAATATATACACGAGTGTTAAAGTTGATATTTAAACAGATCTGTGATGCTCGGATATAGATGCTAATATTATGTTCGAATACATGAGTTTTTTAAATTATGGATATGAAGACATATACTACTCTTTCTGTCCAAAATTATAAATTACTTTGTCAAAATAAAATTGTTATAAATTATAAATCTCTTTATATTTTTAATGCAATATTGATGATATTTTTTTAATGTATCCTCTATTATTTATTATTATTTTATTTTCTAATTCTTTAACTTTGTCTTTGATTTATAATAAATGAAGGAGAATATTGTAAATTTAATATTACCCTTTAGTTTTAAAATTATTGATCCATTTTAATTTTTAATGTATCTTTTCTTAATTTTATTTTTTAGTTAATATTATTTTTATCATTTTTAATATATAATAAAAGTATTTTAATAAAAATATTAATTTTTTTAAAATTTTTTTTTAATATATGTAAAATAGTCAATCAGATTATTTATGGTAGGAGGAAAGAATATTGAATGTATAATAAAATAAAATTAGTGTGAAAATTGTGGCTAATATTTTAACGAGAACAAGTTGCTCATTGTCAAAATCATGCTGAAACATGTCAGAATACATAAAGAAAGGACATTAGACATGAAGCATAAGCAGCAGCACCGATGTGCGCTGGCAACCTCATGCTCTAATCTAACCCACTCACTCCCACGTAACAAAATCTTTTTTTCTTTCTAACTGGATTTTCTCAATAAATTTATTACAAAATTCAAATACGAATTGAATAAGAATAGAGAAAGTATTGATCAATTTAGTGTATAATAAAAGTGCTAACAAAAACGTACACAAAATAATACTATTTTTAAATTTCAGCAATTATGTTATTTGATAAAAAAATTAACAAACAATTCATTACTCTTTCATTTATATCTGGATAATTATCAATTAAATTGATTTATAGAGATAAAATGATACTAGTTTGCTTTAATATTTATATTCTTTTTTTATTAAATATTTTCTCTCCACTTTCTTCTCAAATGATAACATTAAATATTTAAAAGAAAATTTTGCCATCTATTATTTTTTTTCTCAACTCGAAAAAAATAATATCTGATTTATACTAATAAAATGATAACATTAATATTTTAGAATATTAATCAAAATTTTAAAAATAAAAATTATAGTAAACGTTTATATTATTTTTTTAAAATAAAATTTATTTAGAAAATGAAAATTTTGATATTTTCTTCTCACATAATAAAACAAGACAAAAATAAATTTTCGGTTTTTGTATTTTCTCTTATTTGTTAAAAAAGACATTCATCTTTTTTGTTAGTTTACGATCCTGTCGATGCTATTTCTTCATTCATCTGAAAACTGAGAGCGAATCTCAATAAAAAGGTTTCCTTTTTTATTCACTGTGATATCAGCAAAATCTTCAAACTCACAAATCTCGTCACCCTTTTGTACGGTAATTCATCATTTTCTCTACTTCTTTTTGAATCTCATTTCATTTTATCATCCAATTCATTTTTGCATGCATGCTATTGCATTTTTCTTTTGGCTTTTCTACATATTATATACACATTTTATGAATAATTGAAGTGTTTTGATTTTTGGGTATTGGATTTTTTTTACCAGATACTATGCAAGCGTCAAGTGTTTCTGTTAAAGGTAGCATTTTTGGGGCTCAAAGCCAAAAGGGCTTGTTGGGTTTTGGAGAATTCAGAGATGGGAGTGTTCTAAGACCTACAAGAGTTTGCTTGACCAAAAATTCCAATTTCTGTGGCTCAAAGCTTGGTTCTCTCACTGTTAAATCTGAATTAAGAAGTGGAAGAGTTGGTTTTGGTGGCGTTTTTGTGTCATCTGCTAAGTCCAGATCATTCAGGGTTCAAGCTTCTGGGTTGCATTCTGGTGACGATTGTTCTTGAATGTGTTTTGTTTATTAGTTCTTGATTAATGTAGATGGACTGTGTTTGTTTGCTCGATGATTCTATGTTTGAATTTCTTGGCAAAATTGCTTATTTGATGTTAGCAGAATGCAAATTGTAGTATATGAAGTCATAACATGCTATGCTACCTAATCTTAGTTTCTCGTCTAGATGGTACATCATAAATGAACTTTGAAGCACCATCGCTTCAAATTGAAAGTGTGTCTAACATGTGTTAGTGTCTGATATCGACCTGAGACTGACATATTATTAGATTCAATCATTTCCATTTTCTCAAAATATTATTTAGGTTAACATGTCTCTGTCGCGACACCACTATGCTTATGTGTGTGGTTAAATTTGCTTTCATTTTGAAACTAATGTTTTTCGTGCTGAAAAAATCTGTTTTGCAAGTCTTACGTCTGCAAAGTATTTGAACAATTTTTCTCTGTTTCATAAGCTCTTTGTCTGAATATGGATTGCAGATGGAGATGCCGAGCACGTTGTCCCCGCCGTTCCTCTGGGAAAACCTTCTGGAACTGTGCTACCTTATGTTGGTGTTGCTTGCCTCGGAGCCATTTTATTTGGATACCATCTTGGGTATGGATAGCCTGTTAATGTCTGAAAGTTTTTTGGTTCTATGACAAGTATAGAATCTTAAAGTAGAATTGTTGCTACTTTTCATTTAATAACATATTTGCCTTCGATAACTCTAGAAATGTCGTGTTTGGTGCAGGGTGGTAAACGGTGCTCTTGAATACCTTGCTATTGAACTTGGTATAGTCGAAAATACAGTTCTACAAGGTACTCAATTTTTTAAAATGAGTGCATGTGATTGATTTTTCCGACAATGAGAATTTGAGATATTTATGAAAATACTCTCTTAATTTTTAAGTAGTCTCATTCATGAGTGTGAAATCCACAAACAGGATGGATTGTCAGCTCGCTACTTGCTGGCGCGACGGTTGGGTCGTTCACTGGTGGAACATTGGCCGACAAATTCGGAAGAACTAGGACGTTTCAGTTAGATGCAATCCCTCTAGCAATTGGAGCATATCTTTGGTATGTCAGCTGTTGTTTGTTGAGGACAAAAGTTTGATGTTTATATATTTTTTGGAAACCTGATTTGTTAAACTAGGACGTGTTTACAGTGCTACAGCGCAAAGTGTTCAGACAATGATCATTGGACGTTTGCTTGCTGGTATAGGAATCGGTGTCACATCTGCTATAGTACCGCTATACATATCTGAGGTGGCGACTTTGTTAATTTATGGCACCTTTGTGATTGTGATTACATATTTTACATCGGAAATGTAACGACTCCTTCTTTTGGGGCAGATTTCACCAACTGAAATCCGTGGCGCGCTCGGATCTATTAATCAACTTTTTATATGCATTGGGATTCTTGTAGCGCTGGTGGTTGGTCTGCCTCTTGCAGGAAACCCATTATGGTATTGAGTTGTTTACCCTAAACATTTTTTTGTCGGCGTGAGTGTGTTATTCATATAACCTCGTTGAGAGCTGTGTTTTTCTTCTGGTGACTAATATCATCTTGAGATTCTTTCGACTTGGATGATTCGGAAACATTCACTTGTCAATTATACTTCTTGTATCCCAATTATTTTATTTTATCAGGTGGAGAACAATGTTTGGAATTGCAGTAGTTCCATCGGTTCTATTAGCTCTAGGAATGGCAATTGCTCCAGAAAGTCCCCGTTGGCTTTTCCAGGTTTTCTTGCAACTCTCTGGTATCTTTTGTCGTGGCAGAAATAAGTTCACATTGAAGACCCGATTTTGTTAAATGCTTAAAACGGATAAACATTGTCCAACAAAATATACACCTTATACATATCTGTTAAGAATTTAACGAGATAATTTTATTGTAGGTTTTCTGAGAAAATTCCATGTATATTGTTTTACAGCAAGGGAAAGTCGTTGAAGCTGAAAAGGCTATTAAAACACTATATGGAAAAGAAAGAGTTGCTGCCGTTATGCATGACTTAAGAACAGCGAGTCAAGGTTCTTCTGAACCCGAAGCAGGATGGCTTGATCTGTTTAGTAGCCGATATTGGAAAGGTATCCTAAATTTCATTGCTTTCTTATATGAAATGGTGTGGCGCTTTACGGAATAATGTCTTCTTGCAGTTGTCAGTGTTGGGGCAGCGCTTTTCTTGTTCCAACAGTTCGCTGGAATAAACGCTTTGGTGTATTATTCAACTTCCGTGTTCCGCAATGCTGGAATTGCTTCTGATGTTGCCGCAAGTGCCCTGGTTGGCGCATCAAATGTCATAGGTTAGTGATTTTAAATCTTAAACATTTCGATCGCGCTTTAAATTAAAAAAAGGTTATTCTGTATATTGCAAAGTTATGGTATTGGTTGGTTAAATCTTTCTGACTTCTGTTTTGTTGTTGTTGTAGGAACTGCTATTGCTTCCTCCTTGATGGACAAACAAGGGAGGAAAAGTCTCCTTATCACGAGTTTTACTGGGATGGTAATGCATCAATTCTTATTTAGACTTTTTATTCATTTATGTTTCATTCTGAAAAACTTAATTTTATTTCTTGTGCAAGATAATTTATTCATCTTACTACTATTCTCCGAGCGCACCATGTAACTTTGATTCATATAATTGACAGTCTTTGCTATATGTCATTCCCAGGCTGCTTCTATGTTGCTTCTTTCTCTCACTTTTAGTTGGAAGACCCTTGCACCGTATTCCGGTCCTCTTGCGGTCCTAGGGACTGTTTTGTATGTCACTTAATTTCATCAAAATAGTGATTATATTCATGAAAACTTAACTTCATTGAACTTATTGTTTTTTTGTTTATTCGATCTTTGAATTTTAACCAGCTATGTCCTATCCTTCTCTCTCGGTGCTGGTCCTGTGCCCGCCCTTCTTCTACCGGAGATATTTGCTTCGAGAATTAGAGCAAAAGCAGTTTCTTTGGCATTAGGCACACATTGGGTAAGTGACTTCACTATGAAATGTAGCATATAACCTCCATTTTCTCGTTTCTAATCAAACACGGTTTGTTTTTTCTTGTCTTAAACAGATCTCCAACTTCGTCATTGGCCTCTCTTTCTTGAGTGTTGTGAACAAGTTCGGTATCAGCTCGGTGTACTTGGGATTCGCAGCTGTATGTGTTCTTGCTGTTTTGTACATAGCTGGCAACGTTGTGGAAACAAAAGGTCGCTCGTTGGAAGCAATTGAACGCGCACTTAGCTCTCAAGCTTGAGAAACTTCCGGAAGTGATGAATGTGATCGGAATATCAAGGCTGCTCAATAAACTGTTTTATGTTTCTACTCTTTCTTGCTAAGCAAAAGCGGTAGCTGCACTAAGGCTAAGTTGTTTGTTGTAATCAAAATTTGTTGGTTTGCAAATATGGTAACAATAATAAGTCAGCTTTTGTTAAGCATTTGTATAGTAGTATCATGTTTTACAGTTTTTTTTTTTTTGCCTGTGTATGTTTGGTGGTGGTAGATAGCATAAATGGTATTCTCACTTCAATTGTAGGTTGAATAATTGAAAGTTTTATCTTAAAAAAAGAAATAGCAAACTGCCTAATGTTTTAAAAGAGGGTGGATCCGTGACCGTTAGCTGTCGCAACATTTGTATAGACCGAAATCGCATAAGCTTGCCGTCGCAACATTTGAATAGACCGAAATCGCATAAGCTTTTCTATAGACAGAAATCGCATAAGCTTTTAACGCAACCGTTTTTAAAATCTTAGAGGGTAAAACTTGATCTGGATGAAGAGAAAATGCTAAATATAAAATATTAAGAAAAAATGAACATTTAATAAACAAAACTAGAACTCTATTATTTAAGTCATTACCTACTATCTTATATTTTGCTAGAATAATAAACAGGAAAGTTATTGAGAATCGTGATTATACATCTCAACTTAATCCCCAAAAAGTTGAAACCTAATGCTCCCTTATCATAACAATTAGAAGACTTCCATGGCTATCCTCATTAATACTAATTTACAAAATATTTTGACAAAACTTGATGGATTTCCATGGTGATATCTACATGGTGATGGGTTTGTCATTTCAGATTCATGGTGATATCTACATATTGGATTTCCTCTCCCACCTCTCCTTGGTATCTAGCCTGCAAATGTTAACAACACATATCAAAAAAGATTATAAACTTCACAAATGAAATAAAAATAACCATACACATGAAAAACATAAATATTATTATCACAGTCAAGGTGAAGTGTTCAGCTAAAATCATGATTGCTGATTCATTTAATGAAAGAAACTGCTGCTGACTAGGATATCTTTAACCTCAACATAACAAATCGGAATTGCTGCTGTAAAAAAATGTAGTCACCACAATCTGAAAATTAAGACATTTAATGAGTACAGATGACCCACGTAGTGTTATTAATAGCGGATTGCGGAAAATAGCTGATTGCCAAAAATACAATATGAGAAATAGTGGATAATTTAGCAGGTAAGTAGTAGAAGCCGCAAAGCGGTTGAATTATACTAAGAGGCTATTGAACTTGGACAATGAAGCATGGATACTCTAAAATCTATGCCATATAACATACCAATACAATGATATGCTCCAATACACCGTCGATGCCATATCAAACGAGTATCCAAATTTTTTTATTTAAAAAATAAAAGATTCCGATACACCACAATACGGCAGCGACACGTCACGATACACTAGTTAATCTCATGACTATTCATATTTCTTGAACAGGAAACAATCTTCCTCGCCCTTAATTCTTCTTTTCTCAACTTTAATTACCTCATCACTTTCATTTCTTTATTACAACAATCAAACTTTTCCTTTATTTACCTATCTCTCAACCTTAACTATATTTTCTTTTTCTCATAATTCTATTACCAATTACTATCAAATTTTGCAAACTCAATTGGTTTTTGTTAGAGAATGATTTAACTAAAGTATAATTTTAATTTTTTATATGCATATCGTATCCTAGACTTTTCAATGACTGACACATCTCCGCATCGGATACTATTTGTGTCCGTGCTTGGATGAACATTATATGACTATGTTTTCAATAAATTAGGCTTAAAATCCAAACAAGGAAGGTGAAGCATCTGATTATATGAACTTCAAACTCTCAGCCCACTTGGATCACGTCTAGAAGCAGGATGGCAAGCAATGACATAAAATGCATGTGACGGTCAACAAATATGGATTCTCGTTTCAAGACAACCGTCTTAGAGTAAGACCTACTGAAAGGAGTGTGTTTTTAATAAAAAAGATCTCGCAAATACGGGTAGCTATCTTAAGCTCAGAAAAATACTTTATTAATGAGTGTGGGGTTGCAGAAAAAAATAGCAGCATTTCGCAGTGAATACAATAAATCATAATTTTTTTTAGTGTTAGAAATGCTTTTTTTTTTTTTATGAAAGTAGAGTAAGAGCTATACCCCCAATGCAATTTTTGCTTCTTTGATGTAGAAGGAACAGATGCACCACTCTTTGAGTCTTCATTTCTCAAATCAAAGCTTTCGATATTATTCAAGATGCTTTGTTCTTCGTTATCAACTTTGAATCCTTGAGCTCCACTGTTGTTTCTATACGGATCATTTCCTTGTGCCTTCCTCTTTGACTCAACTACAGAACCCAATCCAGGAAACACAAAAGACACATCAACAAGAGTTAGGAACAACCTAATTAGCCGCTTACGTTAGCACTCTTCATATAAGTGCTTATACATAAGCTATTCCTATAGCAAACAAAAAACTAAAAAAAAAATGATTTATGTTTGGATAACTTTATGTAAAATTGAGTTGAACAGTAAAAATCATGTTAGCTTCAAATTCTACCTTCAAGTAGAATCAATTCAGAAGACACAATCAATTCTACTTTAGAATAACCAAACATCTCAAAATCATTCCAAAATCAATTATACACCTCAAAAATTGCTTTTGGCACTTCCAAAATCTAAACAAAAGATACCATTAGAAAGCTTATGAAAATAAGCTGAAAAGTGAGAACTATTTGTGGACATGTCACAACTTAAGCTCTTTGAAACAATCTTACAAGTGCTTATCAAATAAGTGAATAACTTAATACAAACAAACCCTTAAAACAACAACATTATTACCAACAACACAAGAATCATTAAAAAAAAACAAAAAGAACCTTTAGGTTTTGTCTTAAACTTTGATTTAGACTTTAGTTGTAAGCGCTTCCTATGCAGTTCCTACAAAATTCAAATATTCAAACAATGTTAACTTGGAAAACATCAAACAAACATAGTAAAACAACACACAAGATCCAGAATTTTGGATCAAAACTAAAATTTTCAATTTTTACATATATACAAAAAGGGGGGAAATTCAAAGAGAAAAATGAATGAAAATTGAAATGCAATTAAAAAGTACCCACACGAAACTTGGAAAGTTGATCCTGAGTAACGCGTTTGGGATTGAAATTGGGTTGCAAACAAGGTGATGACGAAATTGCTGCTTCTCTTCTACGATCTTCTTCTTCCTTTTCCATTTTCTATTGTTAGGGTTTTGCTCTTTTCAATTCAAATGCTATATACTATTATTATTACTTTATTTCTATTGATTAATTATTATCAAAATTAATTTATTTTGCTTCCACGTTAATCAAATTAAAATCCGAAATAAATATGGAAAAACCAATTCATAATATGTTTATGTAAGTTCTTTGAAAACAATGATGTTTCATGAAAATTTTGTAAAAAAGTAGAGATTAACTGATATGTACTTAAAAAGTTTTATATTATTAATATATCATCCGTTCATATTACTTTTTAAATTGTTAAAATAAAAATCAAATATTTTATATAAATTAGCAGTCGTAATTAATTAATAATATAAAAAAATTTACATTGTCAATATATATTAATTAAATTTTAAAAGTAATATTTTATGTTACTTTTTATGAAGAAAAAAAAGGTGATGCTCTATCAATTACCAATATGCATAGTAAAGAAGTTATACTAAAGATTTTAAACTAATTATATAATATGCTCTAATTATATATTTCTATAAAATGACATAAAAATTAAAAAGAAAATTTATTTTGATCATGATATAAAATACAATACAATCTTTATTATTTCCTTTGTTTTTTTTAATCGTAAGTAGTTTTGAGAAAAAGTTATATAATTTAATTTTTTTATTTTTTTTATATCACTAATGTTTAGAACAAATTTAATACGATAAATTTTTAGTTATTCTTTGATTTTAGTTGGTTTTAGTTGGATATCGATACCATAGTTTTAAATGATTTTAGTCTTTTAATTTTTTTTTAAAAATAAAATCATATTTAAAAATAATATGGTACTGAATATTTTTATTTGATTGAAGAAAGGTATTAATATCCAAATAAATTTAAGGATACTAGTGTTCACCATTTAATAAAGTATGTGTAAAAAGTTTAAAATAATTTATAATTAAAATATATATATATATATATATATATATATATATATATATATATATATATATATATATATATATATATATATATATATATATATATATATATATATATATATATATATATATATATTTTAATTATAAATTATTTTAAACTTTTTACACATACTTTATTAAATGGTGAACACTAGTATCCTTAAATTTATTCCTCTGTTCACTATTTCTATCAATTTTGCACTGCACATGATGACAATAAATAGACAAGCATGTTTGCAATGAGAGACAGTGGTGCATAGTGGTTTTTCTACCAATGTTGTTTTGAATGATTAAATATGTCCATAAGAATGTTATAATGTGTCATATTAGAAGTTGATACCACCCAAACATCACATAATCCACTATTTAACAACTCCTTGTGACCTGAGAAAACATTCACAAACCACAAACTCATTCATTTACCTCACTACCTTTTTAACTAAACCATATCATCGGATATTCAATTTATTTCATATTTTCAAAGATTGGCATCATTCATGATGTCATTTATGGATCTTAGGTTATTTTGAAAAAGAATCACTTTGTTGATAATTGGAAAGCTTACAGCAGCACCCTGCAGGTATAACTATCTTAATTTTTCTTATGCAATTGATAGTAATTGCATAATTTATACTTAATGAACTAAATTATAGTTCCTGCTGGTTTTCTATGCACTACAGTCACACCCAGCATTTACTGAATATCAAAATTTATTAGAAGACTTGAAAGAGAAATTTTCAATATTTACAAATGAGGAAGAAAAATGAAAGTAAACATAGATTTCACATATGTATTGTGGTCCTTATTGGTTTCTCCGATAAAGTAATTTGCTTGGGAGACTTTCAGCCTCAGCCCACGTCAAGAATTACAATCGATGGACACTGCAACAACAATAGTAGTAAAGTATGAAATAAAAGGTGTTGGAATGATTGGAAGGGAACATCTCATCCACGCTACGCTCCAATTTCAACAGTAATCCCACATCATTTTTTGCAAAGCCAACTTTATTGTTTATATAGATTAAACAAACTGAACTAGTAAAGAGAATTTCTTATCCCGTCCCTTGAGGTTCTAAAGCACCATGTGTGCTTATGTATCTCTGGACGCACCTTTTTTTTACTTAACGTTGGTTTGTTGCTTTAAATTCCTTGTGCAATATATTGTTGCACTAAAGTTCAAAACAGTAATAAGTACTTACTCAAATCAACCCTAATTTTGATATAACTGCTTATACTAAAATCAGTTCCCCCGCCGTCCTCGCTTCGGGGTACGTCTTCCCCCAATTCTAATAATACAATTGGGATCAATATAATAGATATCACCTGTAACGTAGAAATGTTTATACAAGAATTGATAAGCAAAATGTTCATCTTCACTCAGCGGTAGTAGGTAGAGATGATCCGTACCGAAAAACCCCCAAAATCTTCACTCAGCGGTAGTAGGTAGAGATGATCCGTACCGAAAAACCCCCAAAATCTCCAAATCTTGGAGGGCAAAACCTGCTAGGTTTTATTCAAGAAAAACTTGCCTTCAAAATCAACCCGAACCGGATTTTTGATCACGGCTTCGGACCTTATCACCTTGAACAAGATCACAAGCACCCCAAGAATTGTTGTGTTGTGGGTTGTAGAATATGAAGATTGATGAACTTTGATGGCACCTCTTTCACTTTTCTTATTTTATGACAATTGACTCAAATTTACAATTGTTGTTGTTAAAAATGAACAAAGTCTCTATATATAGTAACCAACCAATCAAATACTTAACAGCTTTTCAAACACAGTGAAAAGACTTCAATAACTGCACCAACGCGCGAATGTTCGACCATAACAGGTCTATGCATCGACGCATAGCCTGCAGATTTAGGTAAGTTTGAAAGTCCCAACAGTGTGTGTCGACCATAGGTCGGTGTGCGCTGACCCGTGGGAAAATGCAAGCTCCATGCATCGACCTTGCGGTCGACTCACAGTCTTCATGCGCCGACCCGTGACCATTTGCACAAATACATGCACTGACTCAGTGGTTGACTCATGGCCTGTAATTCTGCACAAAAATGATATTTATGTGGTTTTTATGCATTTAGTCATAACCACATATCATCCACATATATTGTATTGAGTAAAGCAAGTTAAATGATATAGGAAGGATATGATGGATGGAATATTTGCATTTGTCTTTGTAGAGGTAGAACCGAATTTGTCATCATCGAAACTTAAGATCATATGTTGTATGACGGTTTACCCTCACATACTCCCCCTTTTTGATGATGACAACCTGTGCGAAGCCAATGAGAACCAAATGCAATATTACTAACATGGTAGCATAAGCTCCCCCTTTCTTTTTCAATCCTATACTTTCAAAAGCAAAAGTAACTGTAACTGATGTGGTGTGGTCTTCTTGGCTTTGGTACACTCTCTTCTCCCCCTTTGACAACATTAAAAAGAGAAAGAGAACGATTATGAGTGAAATGTTCAAACCAACAAGATGATTAACAGGTAATATCTAATCATATACCAATATTCACACATAGTATTGACAATGAAAAAAATAAAGCAACGAATACTCATAGTATAGGTAAAAGAGAGAAAATGCATTGAGAAAACTCAAATATGCATAACAATCCAAACAACTTACACACATAACAACATAAAACAAAATAACATAAATTGCACACAGAAATCTAATGCCCTCGGCCTCTCCCTCGTCCCCTCTCATAGTAATGAGGATTACAGTAAGGATCGGCCAAGTCATTGAATTCCACAGTAATGTTGTTCAAGTAGTTCAAACGGTTGGCTATGGCCCTTTCCTGAGCTTCATTAGATGTAACAAGAGCCTCAAACCATGCATCCATTCTTGTGGAGAAGTTATTGAGCCTTTCATTTTGTGTTTGGAGTTGGCTTTGAACTTGACTGAATCTCTCATCTTGAGTGCGCATGAAATTTTGTTGTTCCAATTGCATGGACTGCATTATGCTGAGAATGTCAGATGTGTTGGATTGCTGAGGAGATTGAGGTACTTCAGAATATCCATGATATGGATCATAATATTTTCCCAGAGTGGTCCAGCCCATGTACTGCCACTCACCCCAGCCTTGATTGTTGTATTCTTCTTCTTCCTCAGGTTGAGTTGTGTGTGGAACCCAATCGGTAGTCGTGTACTCAGTTGACTCAGTTTGATGATGACTGTCATGTGCCTCATGTGCAGGTTCTTCTTCTTCTTCCTCTTTAGGTTCCTCTTGTTCTTCTTCGTCACTTTCTGCACTTTCCTCACTGCCTTCAGATGCTTCAACAATTCTAGGTGTAATTTCCCTGCAAACAAAACCGTACACTTTTCTTTCTTTGCACCAATAGTAGCCCATCATTGAAAGGGTCTTTGTGCCAAATTACTTATCTATAGAGATGGATGTGTATGGAAATGTTGGAAAGACAACATCAACAGCTGTGAGAACTTCCTGAATAAATGACCCATATGCTAGAGCAGTTCCTCTTGCGGAGTCTCGTAATGCGAACTTTCTACAAGCAATGTAGTAGGGCCAATTAATTTTGATTTGATTTTTTAATATGCAGATGAGATGGACTTCAGCCTGTTCTACTCTGGAGATTCCTCTTTTCTTTGGCTGCAGAATGCGCGCCACAATCCGCTGAAGAATTGGCTCACCCGTTTGTAATTTTCCTGCAGTGACGGTTCTCGAAAATGCATCACTATTCACAATATTCTCTGGATACGGACGTGTTAACATCGAATTTAAAGCCGTTTTGAATTCATATCCAACCACAGTTTGAGAATCAGTTACCTCAGGAGGAGGATTTTCACCAGCAGCCAATTGCATGTTGAAATATTTACTCCATACAACAGAGTTTAGGTTTACCTTTGTGGAGCCGACCTGAGAGTCAAAGAACTGACCGCTGAACCTGCCATGGATGCATATGTAGAAGACATGCACCAAATCTTAACTATACTTTGAGTTGCATTCCAAGAAGTTGATAATGCCTTAAAACTGCAGCAAAGATAAAATTTCGGGTAGATGAATGTGTTCCGCCGTGAGTTTGTAGA